CCCTGAACCCCTAAACCCTAAATCCAGCACCCCAGTGACGGTGTTGGAAGGGACGGTGAATCCGGCCGGCCTCCAAGGGCAAGGCGGAGTTCGCCTCCGCGATATTGCCAGAGGGCATGCCCGAGCGCACGGGGAAGCGGGCGCTGTTGCTGAAATCCAGGAGATCCTCGGTTTGCGGCTGTGGAGGGTTTAGGGTGGAGCGTTTAGGGTTTAGGGTTTAAGGTTTAGGGTTAAGGGTCTAGGGTTTAGGGTTTGGGGTTGAGGGTTTGGGGTTGAGGGTTTGGGGTTGAAGGTTTGTCGATCACGGCTCCGCTTTATTAGGCTAGGGAGGGTCGTCGACAGAACAAGATGCTTGTGCGTTTGCAGGTAAGGACCGGAACAGGGGGCCAAGATGTTGTAATTGACAGGGTTTCGGGTGTATTGTTCCATAATCAAATTCAGTAGGGGCCCTAAGAAATCATGCTGTTCGAAATTCTGGTTAGCCTTCTAGAGCATGTCTTCAAGGCCGAACAAAGGCCTCCTATCTCCAACCTTGGTAAGAGCCCTGCGACCTTGAAGGGAGTTCGAGAAGCCCTTGCGACTTAGGATTCCTGGCCCGATGCTCCGGAAAAAAACGGATGGATTTGAGCAATATCGCAGTCAAAGGTGCAACAGCTTCGGGTTCGCGAATCTATTTCGGGCTCCGAGTGCGAATGAGCACAGCATCCCCTCAACGCAAAAATCCGAAGTAACCCCACACGCTCAATCCAAACCCTAACCCCGAAACACAGAACTTTGAACGCCCTCCACATCTGTACTCAGGGCCGTAACTAGGGGTCTTTTCGGTTACCTGAAACGAAGAAGCATGCTTCAATCCCCAAGGTGTTGGATGCATCTGTGGAACTCGATCTGCAACACGGGAGCAGACATATTGTGCAGTCAAGGCCTACACTGCTTGCATTCCATGAGAAACAGAAAACACAAGACTCAGAAATCCGGGATGCCCCCAACTCAGAGGCAATGCCCATGATAAGAGCTTCTTACTTAACACCCCAACTAAACCCTAAACAGTGCGCCAGGCGTCTGCTTTTCGCATGGCATCCACAAGGGGATCTGCAGCCGTCGTGACCTGCCGCAGGTTCCCAAGTTCTCTTCAACGTAAACTACAGAGATATAGGTCGCTCTTCGATTGGAGGGTTTGGGTTTAGGGTTGGGCTGTAGGGTTTTGGGCTTCGGTTGATGGTAGCGAAGGGAACATTGGAGGCAGCACTTGGGTGCAGCATTCCAGCAGAGACGACGAGAGTTTGAATCCACGACAGAGAGCAGCTGGTGCAGAACCTGGACTCGCCAGATGTCCAAAATGACCTTACGCTTTAAACCCAAAATGACCTTACGCTTTAAACCTAAAATGCCCCTACGTCCCGCACTGCACAAAGCTTGAAGCCTTAAAACCGAACATCAGTCCCAAAGCTTCCACATCCTCATCTCCGCAACCCTGAGCCCTAAACCTTATTTTTGAGCCCTAAAAGCCCATCATCATTCCTATAAACCTTAACCCCCAGAGCTCTAGACTCTAAACCTAAAGCTCTGAACTCCCAGAGTCCTAAACCCTAAACCCTCAACCCTCAACCCTCAACCCTAAACCCTAAACCCTAAACCGGTCCTAAACCC